AAAAATGAAAATACTCCTGAAAGTATTTTTTTAAAAACAGTTTGATTAATACCAACTAAAACATTTTTAGCTTTTAAATGAGGGAAAAAAAAAATTACTTTGTAATTTTCATGTTTTTTCTAAGATGATAATCAAAAAAGAATGTGTGGATAATGCAACAACTATCAGTGCAAACAGTAGAATCAGTAAACAGAGTTCAAATTTCTATCTGTTGCCTTCACTTTTATACAAATAGTTTTAAGAAAGGCATTTATAGCAGGATAAGACTGAGCTCTCTACACTTAGATGGTAACCGGCTATGGAAAGAAAAAACTTGAAAGCCAAAACAGTGGTGAAGGCAACTAGCAATAGGAAATCACTCCACTATCTTTCCCATGAAGTCATGACAAATCACTGATAATAAAGGAAAGGAATTTGGAGAGCTATGATTGCCTACATCCTGGGGAGGGGGGAGAATAGATAAATAACAATTTAAATCTTATTAACAAATTACTGCACATTTTTATGAATTGTAGTGCACATCTCACTCCAGATTATACTCGAATAGAATTTGCACTCAATAATACACCAGGGTATTAAGTGCAGATTTATGTGACTGGCTCAATTGCATGCGACAGATATGTAACATCAACTGCAGATGCAGCAATAGTAGTCTCTCAGACATTTCAGACAAAAGTGTAATGTCCATGTTTTGAATGAGGAACCCAGGGCCAAACACACTGGCCAAGATTAACTGATGAAATAAGGAATTAAAAAAATGTTAAAATTCAAGTTGTTTGTTGTCATTGGTCCACACCTATTCTATTACAATCTGAAACTTTCTAATTGGATTATTACATTGTTTTTGTTCCTTTCTTGCTTTGCTGAATTAATGAACTCAACAATTCAACTGATATCAATTAAAGTAATAAGTAACTGCTAAAGAAAATATATATTTTCACATCATACTTTCACTTGTTTTTATAATTGATTAAGCATACTGAATCACTAGTGATTGTATTGTGAAATGAAAGTCAAGAATCCATTGAAAACCTGAAGAAAACACCTTTGCATTTTGTTACAGACCATCCAATTAATGAACTGTAGATTTTATGGAAGAAAATCTATAATTTGTTACCATTTAACAAGTTAAGTTTTGTGGTTTCAAACTTAACAGGTTCATGGCCATATCACATTGAAACACTGATTCTCATATGATCACCAGAGTTAAACAATGTTGAGCCTAGATGGATAACTGCTTAGGAATACCAAGTGCTGTAAGCTTGGATGTGTGGGTGGTATAATGGCTCAGGATTGGAAATCTGAGGGCCGAGTTACAAATCCAGTTGGGTTCATTATATTCACTTATACCCTTGGGAAAGGTATGAATCCACCTCTTCTACCCTCCCCAGCTATGCGTAAGTTAGTAAGACTTGTATCCGTAAAATGATTATCTCCCAAAAATTCTTACAATCAAAAAATATTTTCTAGCTTTAAATTACCTGCGAAAGGTTGATATGCTGTAAAAAAAAAAAAAAAAAAAAAAAAAAAAAAATTAAAATCAATCAAGCCTAACAGTAGACATCTAAATTGGACAATCCTGGGAACATGTTTTACACACTCGTAGTGAGTCCGATCTCTTAAACTGTCACAATGTTTAATTGTGACAAAATTGAAAAATTCCTAAATAATGTGTTTCATCCCTAGAAGGAACTTCAGAATAATAAAGGTTTTATTGAAGGAGTCAGTCTTTCATATATACGTATGTGTGTGTATGTGTGTATTTGTAGGATGTCTAATAGATTCTGAAACAAAAGTGATGATAAAGAAAATTTATTAACGACGCCCTAATATGTCATGCCTGAATAGGTGTGAATGTAAATATAATTGTTGTAGCATACCTACAGACGATAATGGGTATGCCCCCATTCCCATAAATACATTAGTGAATACTGTATGTGTGAGTCTACAGTCTACAGTTGGAGATTCATTGTGGAATTCACTTGACTCACTTCTAGCAGTTGACTACTTCTTCTATGCACCACTGACAAATCTTATGTGTTGTTCTTGTCCCAAGTATTATCGTTCATTACCAACCTCTGTATGATTATCCTATTCAGTAACCTTCCTTAGGTTACAACAATAATAAAAAATCACTATCTAGTTTCAGTGAACTGACTTAAAATGCAGCCATACCAAATGCTTCTGATTTAGATAAAACAGGTGTACAGACACTCTCTCAAGCCTGGCCATTGTACGTGATAAGGTATCTAATTTAATTTGATTTATGATTACTATTTCCCAAGGCATTTCCCCCTCAAATACAGATTTTCCTTTCTTTCATTCTAATCTGAGGAAGCCAAAGGGAGCAAACTCTCTGACAAAATGTGTCAATAAATTTTCCATTTAGTTGAGCAGGGGGGATACAACAAATGCCAGTTACAATTTTACAATGAAAACACTAAAGACTCAGGGACAATTAACTTTAGATTCAAATTTAAAAAATTTTGATGTCCAGTGTATCTAGATGCGTGACCTAGCAGACCCCATTCAGCTTTATATCACTTTTGGTTTTATTGCTAACTTCTTTTTTATAATTGTATTTCTTTTCACCCCCTGTTGGAAGACTGAATCCATTGATAAAATGATTATTAGTCTGAAGAAGTTACTTTAAGGAATGAAACATTACGTAGGTGTTTCCCATTTTTTCATTTGTTTAAGTAGTCCGATATAAAAATTTGTATATCTGATCTTCCACAGTATAATCTATACTACTCATTTAATAGAATCAATCTTCTTTTCGTAATTTTGCCAATCTAAATAAGTCAATTATTCATAATTAATTTTAACCTGTGAAAATTTCAGTTTTCCTATTTGAATTTTCTGATGAATTTTAATTCTTCAGTTAGTGATTAAGTAAGCTTATGATGAGTTCTACGACAATAAAATCTCTATAGAAATTCCCCTATTGCCTCATTAAATATTTGACATTAACAACATCAACAAATTATTGTGACAACAATCATAAATATGTATGCTAATCATTATTTTAAGAAGTAGCTACAATATCTGTCTATTTCTGAGATGAGGTATTGTAATTATTTACACTATTTACATTCTTCAGACTGTTCTTCATCTTTTTTGCTATATTCATGACGTCTTCAGGTGGTTGGAATTTTGAACTGAACCCTTTATTTCATTCACTGGGGTAGATTGTTCTAGTTCCATGCAGTAAGAAGTATAAAGGAGAAACAAGACGCCCCTTTAAGATTAGGCTGCAAAAACATCGTAAGGCCATAACACAAGGGGAAACAGAAAAGTCAGGTGTAGCTGACCACATATGGAGGGAAAAGGTGGACAAAATAAAAGGTTCAGTTTGAAATTCCAATTACCTGAAGAAGGCTGGAGCATACAACATCATCAATATGGGAAAAAAAAAAAAGGAGAGAGAGAGAGAATAACAGACTTAATAATGTAAATAAGGTACAAATGAAAAGATTTGACTTTGACATTGACAACTTTTTCATCTCTTAAACACTTCTTCTTTCTTTCATTTTCACACTGAAACCAAGCAGTGTCTTTACCCCTCTTTCCACACAATCAAAATAGAATTATTTATGAGATATTGGCAGGATATAACAGCCATGCAAACTAATGAAGGGAGGGAAGGACAAGGACAATTATAATAGGATGATTGATACCATTATCATAGTAGTGTTATTTGAAACCTTTATTTTTCTCATTATATAAGACAAAGTTTAGAAGGAAGAAAATGGTGATGTGGATGTTTGTGACTGAGAAGTATGCCAAAATAGAGCTTGTAGCCAAAGCAATAAATTTAGATAACATTAAAATTTTGATTTTGTACATAAACTTTAAGTAGCTGAAACTGACAATGCATTGAAACCAGAAGCATTGAATTAAAGGATTCTTAAAATGTGCTAATTTAAGTAATACAAAAGAAGAAATCAATGTGAATAATGTTGAATATAATAATATAAAGTTCAGAGTTTATATATTAAAACTATTTTTTCACACAAGCTTTTATTCTCCTTGTAGAAGAGATGGGTATTAAATTCATTATATAAAGTATGTCAGATAAAATTCTGTTACATTTGAAAGATGGCAATGCCTGTTAAAAGCAGGTACCACCATGATGAACCCCCCTGCCTAAAAAAAAAAAAAAAAAAAAAAAACACGCTATCCCATTTTTAAATATTTACCAGAAATCACGAAATTATTTAATTTAAACAAAAATTTCACCACTTATCTATTAATGAATTAATTGTATACTGAATAGGTTATATTATTAGAAAACTTGCTTGAAATTTTGGGTGGGGGCAGGTTTCCCTGTCTGCCTTGAAATATATATACTTTGTACTGATTGATTCATTTTCTATGGCTTATTAACGCTTTACAGTTTATTCAAACCAGAATATATTTTTAGATTGTAAGAACTTTTTGGGGGAGATACTAATGGTTTAGTAATACAAGTCTTACTAATTAACTCATAGCAGGGGTGGGAAGGAGGTGGATTCATACCTTTCCCAAGGATATGTGTGATTAATGGTTAGTGGCTCAAACTGAGGAATTGGATAGCCCAGTTTATTATTTCATGTACTAATAGCCTTGGGAAAGGTATGAATCCATCTCTTCTCCTCCCAGCTACGAGTAAAATAGCAGGACAAAGTGGGTGGCAACCAGTCTAGTAGGAAACTCTGAATTCAAACTGGATTGCACTATCCTAAAAGTGTGTATAGATGTGGCCGGAAACTACTTATGAATCTAAAATCCATTGAAACTCCTACTCCTATATGTCCAAATGAATATGACCTCTGCTATGCTTGGTCAGTTTTTATTTGGATGCTATGGGTTTGTTTGATGGAGCTGGCTCAATCGACCAGGTGAAAGCCGAAATGGGTACAGGTATTTATGCATAATGAACCCAACTGGAATTGGAACTTGTCTCTCAGATTAACAATTCTGAGCCATCATCCATTATACCACTTGCACACCCAAACTTACAGCACCTAATATTACCAAGCAGTCACCCATGCAGGTACTAACCAGGCTCAATGTTGCTTAACTTTGGTGATTGCATGGAAACAGGTATTTCAATGTGATATGGTCATAAGTTGTGTATTTTTTAATTTGTGGGATGTTTGTGAAATACTTTTCTTTGTGAATTATAAAATGTGAAGAAAAGGAATTGACATAGTTGGGATCATAGAGTCAATGTGAACAATATTTTCATTAGCTGCATAGTAAGTGCTTCACCAGGGCTACATTCAGTTTTGAATTCAGAGTTTTCCTTCTCCTAGACTGGTTGTCACCCAAGGCTATAGAACCCTGTCTGTCCTGCTATTTACCCATAGCTGGGGGAGGGGAGAAGAGTTGGATACTGAAAATTCATACCAAACCTTACCAAAAATAATTTGATAAAACTCAAAAAATAATTTTTTTTTGAAAGCTGGTGCTTGCATAATTGAATAGAACATTTTCTTTCTGATTTGATGGGAGAAAACTATTTACACTGTATAATTACTTCTAAAAATTTTACTCATAATTTTTTTTCAGTGCAATATTAAGATTCTACCCATTACTGTTCATAATTTTTTTTAATTAAAGACATTTGAAGAATTGAAAAATGTAAAGTTTAATGCCATTTTTTAGTGTGAACAGTTCTGCATTTTTACAATGGTCAAGTGTTCATTGAGAAGAAAATTCCCAGTTACTTTCAGATAACATCATTGAACCCTGCTATTCACCCTGGAAGGGCCAATTTGGTTGTGAAGGACCTTACCAATAAGTATAATAAATGGCCCTGTGTAGCTTATTCCCAAATGGCTAATCTATATACAGTTTGATGCTGACCCTATGCCTCGGATTGATATGATAAAGAATCTGGCAAGGTACAAAGTATTTTTGACTTTTGACCTGAACAGTGTTGGCCACCAGATCCCAATAACTGAGGCATATAAAAAATTTACTGCCTTTGAGGCCAATGGGAAGCTATACCAGTTTTGTAGGTTGCCCTTTGGTATAACCAATGGGGTCTATGTTTCAAAGGGCAATAGACAAATTTGTTGAAAAAGAGAACCTTAGAGATACAAATCCTTATGTAGACAACATTAGCATTGGTGGTTATAATCAAAAACACTATGATCAGAATTGTCAGAGATTACAACAAGCAACACAAAATGCAGTCTTACATTAAATTAATCAAAATCTGTAATATCTTCTGAGTCTATTAAAATACTCGGGTATGATGCAAGCCATAATACTATTCAGCCAGATCCCGACCACCTGCATGTTTTCATATTAATCCAAATGGATTCCTTTGTTTTCTAATAAAATCCGTCCCTTGATCGATACTAAATCTTTTTGGATAAGTAAAGAAAAAATTTGAGGACTTTTAAAGAGTTCAAAGAGGAATTGTGCTCTATTGATGAAAGTATTCCGTCTTTGGTAGAATGCGATGCCTCTGATGTTGCTGTGTCTGTAACTCTTAATCAAAATGGCCACCCCGTTGCCTTCATGTCATGCAGCCTAAGTAAGAATGAATTAAACTACTCTTCAGTAGAAAAAGAGGCTACAGCTATCATTGAAGCTGTTAGAAAGTGGTGACACTGTTGTGCAACCACTTTACTCCAATAATTAATGTTCCGTTGCATTCATGTTCGACAATACAAAGCAAACAAAGGTTAAGAACAGAAAAATTCAGAGTTGGAGAGTAGAGATGGCTGAATTTAGTTATTTAATCGCATTCAGACCTGAACCTGACAATGTTGTCCCGGATGCCCTAACAAGAGCTCACTGTACAGCCATAACAAGTTCATCTCTAAATGAACTTTATAGTATTTTATGTCACCTGGGAGTTACACAGATGTTACACTTTGTTAAATGCAGAAACCTTTCATATTCAACAGAAGAAGGTTTGCTCTCAGTGTTAAATTTGATCTGTACTAAAGCCAAAGTTCTTCAAACCTTCTGCACCAAGGAAATTAATAAGAGCATTGAATCCCATGAACTTATTAAGGGCCCTTACCATTTAATACTCATAATAAGTATTTGTTAAGGGCTATAGATGAATATTCCAGTTTCCTGTTTGCCTTTTCATGTCTGGATGTTAGTTCAGTGACAATGATAAAATGCTTTGACCAAATTTTCAGCCTTTGCAGATTCCCATCTTATGTTCACTCTGATAGAGGTGCATCCTTTATTAGCCAAGAATTAAAGTCCTACCTAACTCAGAAAGGAATAGCCACAAGCACATCTACTCCATACCACCCAACAGGCAATTCACAAGTTGAACAGTACAATGAACTTAGATGGAGAAATATTTGCCTGGCATTAAGAACATACAATATGGACTTAAAACATTGAGAAATAATTCTACCAAATGCTCTATTCTCTTGTTCCCTACTTTCGACATCTACCAATACTACTCCACATGAAGGGTTCTTCAGTTTTCCCTGGCTCTCTTCAACTTGCTCATCGTGGCTTGCCCCTGGACCTGTACTTTGTCTGGTCAAGTGAAAATAATACTTTTGTCAATAGGGTGGAATTGCTTGATCTAAATCCTACATATACAAATATAAGGTACCCTGATGGACAAGAGTCCAGAGTATCTCATCAAGATCTGGCACCTTATCCATCCACTGAATTGAATGTGAGAAAAAGTATCCCAAATATCGAACATGTTTCTGAGGACCCAGGCAGTTCTGACATACTCACTTCAACAGTGCCCCAGCATGATAGTTCAGGGTTAGTCTCTAGTGATGTTATACTCTAACCAATTACAGCCTAGTTCCGAGGTGATAATATGGAGGTCTTCAAGAACATGAAAGGCACTAACATTTAGGTATCCTGTTTTACAAAAAAAAAGTGATAATTTAAATTCTCCAAGGAATTTTGCTTTAGTGTTTAAATCAATAAAACAAATTTTGTGATTGAAATTTAATCTCTCGAAATTTCATGAAATTAAGTAAGTGGTGGTAGGTAAAAAAAATGTTTTTACTAAGATTTTGTAAAAAAAAATTTTTTTGAATTTAAAATTCATTTGTGAATAATCCTGAAAGTTTCATTAAAATCCGACAATTATTGTATTTCTGCAAGAATTTCCATGAATGTGTTTTTCACCTGGAAAAAAAAGGCGCTAAAAAATACTAATCGAAAATATTACGTCCACCGCTGACGTAAAAAAAAAAAAATTTTTAACCAAAATTTTGAACGTGCTAGAAAGGATTAAAAAAAAAATAATAAAAAATGCTTTAGTCTTTCCTCTTAGTAACAAACATTTTGACGATAAAACTTTATTTTTATTTAAGTTTTAGTACTGTTTTGGGTGCATTCTTTCATCATGCTATAATATATGCTGTTTTTTTTTCAACGAGCAAGTGGAGTTACCTACGTAAAATAAAAAGATAAATGAATTTTGAAATTTAAATATTCAAAAACAACAAAAATTCTGTTAATTTTAAAAAGAAACTAAACCAAGGTGTTTCTTTGATGTTTACAGGTTTACTCCGTCTTGCATTTTTAAAGAGTGTTCGTGTTTAAAAAAGACAACATTTTTATTTTTTTTAGCTAGAGCCCTGTGAATTCGTTTAGAATTTTTTTTTTTTTTAGCTAGAGCCCTGTGAATTCGTTTAGAATTTTTTTTTTTTTTTAGCTAGAGCCCTGTGAATTCGTTTAGAATTTTTTTTTTTTTAGCTAGAGCCCTGAATTCAAATTTTTAATTTACTTCTCCCAGTAAAAAAACTGTGCAAAACCTATGTAAAAGGCATTTATTGTAATTAATAAAATTATTATTCAAACGCTTTTTAAAAAAAAATCTGAGGCTCTTTAAAAAACAAAAAAAAAACCCCAAATCACCAAAAACTGTTTACAAATCCTGTAAATTTATTTAAGGAACGGTAATTTCAAAACAAAACTCCACTGTTTTATTCTAAACAATACAAAGAATAAAAGAATGGTGGACAACTAACTATATTATTTCGTACAGTTACTACTAAAAGGTTTTTTTTTAATAGTAAAAGAGTTTAGTTAAAAGTACGAACCAACTACAAAAAGAAAAAAAAAAAGAAAAAAAAAGACGGTAATTCAGGTAATTTCATACAACACGTAAGAAACCTTCTTCTTACAACAACAGTACACGCCGGTTATTTCCGGGGTATTATTTTCGTAACATGTTTTTTTTTTCGCTTATTCTTTCCGAATATGCTTCTTTTTTTAATTGTAGTTTTCTTTTGATGCTTTAAGAAGTGACAGAAAGCAACTTTGAAAATTACCCCCAAACAGAAACAACTTTGAAAATTACCCCAAAACGCGTTTTTTTTTTTTTTACCCCCCACCGTTTCTCTATAAATTGCGGCAAGTTGCCATCATCGCTACAATTTTGCTTTCATCCCTTGCAATTTTACTTTTCAAACGTAATTAATTATCGCTTTGATTTTTCGCGGTTTTAATCTTTAATTTTTATTTATTTACGCAGAATTTTCTTGGAGCGTGTTTATTTTATCATTTTTACGTAATGTTTTCTTAAATGATAATAAATCAGTTTAAATTAAAACAAAAACAAGAAAAAAAGAAAAGAAAGTTTTCTCTCGAAAAAGAAGAAGAGACAGGCGGCGGGTAACATAACGGTTATCGGCGCGCAAAGTGGAATCGACGAGCAGATGCCAAATTCTGAAGGAATCTGTTTCGATTATTTCGCATTTATCTTCTCTCAGCTATGTTTTTTTGTTTGTTTGTTTTTTTTTAATAACAAGGTAGACCATGCTCTCTGGCCTTAGTAGGACCGCCAATCTAGGACAACTCTGAATTTAAAACCGGAGAAGGCACCGGGAAACAGCTCCACTATATTTCCTAACAATAAGTCATGGTAATTCAGAAAGAAATTGAATCTGTGTTGAGCAATGATCGCCTACGTCCTGAAAGGACGTGGTATCTTAAAGAAAAAAAGACAAAAAAAAAACAAAACAGTGCCATCTTTTGTAATAAAGACATAAGGTAAATATTTAAAATAAATAATTTGGATTTGCCAACAAACACTAAAATACTTAAAACAATGCTTGAGGACAGGTGTGTGTACCTTTAACTTTCCTTCCGTCATCGAAAAGGAAGGAAAGTTAAAAAATCGGAGAAGAAAAAAAGAAAAATCGCTAATTCAAAAATCTTCGACAGTTGTTTAAGATATGACCATAAGAAATTATATTAAAATAAAACTCAAGTCTCGCCTTTGATTTATTTTTAAAAATTTTACTTTGTGTTTTACTTTTATCATCAAAAAATAATGACAATACCGTAGAGAACATATTTGGTAATGTTTGTAAATTAAAAGAACATTTACGAATTTAGAAAAAAAAGTAAAGAGAACACACACAAAGAATACTTTTTGTTTTTTTAGATATCAATTATTAAATTATGGTCGTTAATTCATAATTATTATTGATAATAATGACGATGACCAAATGAATTGTTTTGTTTTGAATTTTGATCATCATAATTTAAATTGGGTTTTTGGTTGATCACATTTAATTTCCTTGAAACACCTAAAAGTAAAAGAGTAAAAAAAAAACAAATTCAAATTTAATAATTTCTTTTTAGGCTTTTATTTACTCTTTTTTTAAAACTAGCAATAATGAATTTTATAAATCTTCTTGGTAATATAATGGTAAAATAATTATAAATAAAAAAATATGTGTAACTAACTGTAAGTGTAATTTAAATACTAATGTGCATATGTTTTTATTTATTTAGTAAACAAAAAAACTGAATGAATGATAGTTTTTTTTTTTTGAATTTGCCATTATTAATTAAGTTTAGAATTACAGTCAATTTATATTGCTTCACTAAAAAAATGAAATCAAATTAATTAATAATTACGTACCAGTTACTATTTGTATAGGGAAATAAAAATAAATAAAAACGATTTTTTTTACTTTTTTTGTAGTAAAATTAAAAAGCGAATTTTTATTTGTCTGCAGAAATATTTTCTCCATTTTTCACTGGAATTGTTTGATGATAAAATAAAAAAAGAATCAACCAACTGTCCATTAAAACATACAGTGCTTAAAAAAAAAAAAAATAAATAATGCCCACACCTGAAGAAGAAGAATCATAATAAAAATCACCTTAAAAAGCAAGAAAATTATCCATTTGAAACTTAATTTCTTCATTTAAAAGAAAGAAAAAATTAAGACGTAAGGTTTTATCATCGAGTGAGCGACATTGGCACAATGAATTTAGCTGTGCAAATAAACATAAAAATGGACCCTTTTTCTACCAGAATTCTTAACTTACCTTGTTTAGGTACTGCTGCCATGATTCTCCTACTTAGCATATCGGGTCTTGTTATGGACTGGGCTGGGTTTGTTGTGTTGAATTGCCGTTAATTTACTTCAGAGTCACATAGACTATGATCCTTGTAGCATGGCACGACGCCATTTTTACAAGGCTTGCATGTTCTACACAATAGCCAGTAATGACACCGCTTTTTCTTTTTTTTTTTTTTCGTTACTAAGGTTAGTAGTGGCTGTGATTTTGAACACATGCTGAAAAATTTAAACTCTCCATCTCTTTGAAGATGATGGAGTTCATTGGGATTTTTAGAACATTAAGGGAGAAAATGATTCATAATTCTGACCTGGAATCATTTTTCCTGTGTTATTTCCTTGTTAATCACCCAATCTGGTACATTAGATAGAACTTTAGACTACTGAATGTACTCTTCTCAAAAGAAATTCCTTTCCAAGTTTCCATTCTTAATTAAACAGTAATTAATTTTTTAAAATAACCTTCTGCAAAAATCATTGCCGCTAGGAAATTTGAAGGTCTTTTTATATTTTTTATTTTGTCAGAGTAAATAAATACGGACATTTCATATATTGCAGATTTCTCTTAAAAATTTTAGTGTTTGTGAAGAAAAACTTTAAAAATCTATATTAAGATTTGGTAAAATGAACAAATTAGATACAAAATATAGTAATATGTTATTTAAAACATATTTTATTAATTAATCAGTTTTCAGTAATTAAAACGTTTTCTATTGAGAGTTATTAATAAGATATGATATCCCTACTTAAAATAAAATTTAATTAACCTTGTCAGAGAACGGAAATAAAATAATAAATAAAATAATAATTAAAAAAAATAAAAAAATTAATTTTGTCATAGGAAACCAAAAAAGGTTTCTGTTCACGTGTGAATTTTATGACCCCACTTTTGGAAAGGACATGATCGTTCCCTTCTCACTTCCCAACCATTGAGTTTGGACGTGTTTGGTAATTGTCCCAATGAAAGGAAGATTTGGCCACTCTCACTAATAGTCAGACTGATTTGAGGTTGACCATTCTGTATATCTTCGCATCTTTGTACTCACATGCGTCAATAAACATTGGCAATTTATTTTCTATTCAAATCTTTGTTTTATTTATTGTGGTCCACTGACGTTCAAATTCTGTTAGCAGCATGAAGTCAAATACATCCCATCCACAACTTATAATTAATGGCAAAAGATAAAAAAATACACAGCCTTTAAAACATATATCAAATTATTAATCTGCAAAATTTCAGTTTTTAAACATGTATACTTACACTTCAAGTAACAGACATTCAAATACAGGCAAGCAGATTTCTGTTAAATATTTGTAGTTTGTGTTTACTACTATGTCTGCACACCAGATATAAATAAAAGGACAATGTATCAAGTAGGCAATCTGCATAATAATTTAAGTTGTAGTCAGACAGCAGTCCAAGTCGAAGTAAAAAATGGAGTCATTAAGAAATCTTACTGTGTCAAGTTTATTTCTTGTTGCATGAAAACTGTTTTCATAAGAAACTGAACTAAAAACAAAGATTTTATAAAATACCTCAACAATTCTTTAAATATAAAAACTTTGGATTTTAACTTATCTGCTTTCTTCTTTTCTGTTCCTTTGGAGAAGTGTCGAATATTTTTACACGGCCAAATTTTCACTTTTCATAAAATAATTTTTTGACAAAATTGATGGAAATTCCTCAAATACCTTCTTTTTTTAACGCTATGTGAAAATTGAAAGTCTACTAGAACCTTTAAAAGGCCAAAAAGTTTTGCCAATTTGAAAGTGTTCATTGAAATATTTGGTGAAAAGTCATCTTTTTAACAATGGGAATATATTTGTTGATGACTATTATCAACAAATATAGCCCTGCCACAACCTCATTGAGAATTAAAATTAGGTATAATGTGCTTGAGTCCCTGAAGGTCATTGGTCTAGGCAGTACCTCTCCTTTGGGAGGGGACATGGGTTGCCCTCAAAAGGGGAAATGCTGAGGGGGTTTATGCAATTTTTGTCATTTGTCCCATGTATACATGGGCTCCCACTTTAAAACTGGTCTTGTGCTATATATTGTTTGGGTGGTCATGCAGTAAAATGTCCACAACTATCAAATAAGAAAATATATTTTGGCAATGTTTAACCCTCGTGTCTACAAAAAACCAGTGTGTCAAAAGGACACTTATTCTCTTGACATTGCTATTACTGTATATACTTTTGACTCCCTCATCAATGTTTATTGTTTTAAAAAGTGATAATTAGAATCTTTCTAAAGAAATTTTTATTATTGTTTTTTCATTGTTTTTATTTTTTGTTGTTTTTTATTTTTTTATTATTGTTTTTTATTTTTTGTTTATTATTGTTTTTATTATTTTTATTATTGTTTTTTTATTTTTTAGTTTATTATTGTTTTTATTATTTTTATTATTGTTTTTTTATTTTTATAAAGAAATTTTTATTATTGTTTTAAAAAGTGATAATTAGAATCTTTATAAAAGAAATTTTTATTATTGTTTTTATTGCTTTTATTTTTTGTTTTTTATTGGTTTTGTATTGTTTTTTATTGTTTTTATTATTGTTTTTTATTTTTTGTTTTATTATTGTTTTTATTATTGATTTTTTATTATTTGTTATTATTATTTTTTATTTTTTATAAAGAAATTTTTATTATTGTTTTAAAAGTGATAATTAGAATTTTTATACAGAAATTTTTATTAGTTTCATTGTTTTTATTTTTTGTTTTTTATTGTTTTTTATTTTTGTTTTATTATTGTTTTTATTATTTTTATTATTGTTTTCATTTTTTTTTATTGTTATTATTTTTTATAAAGAAATTTTTATTATTGTTTTAAAAAGTGATAATTAGAATTTTTATAAAGAAATTTTTTATTGATAAATTTATAAGAATGTCTGTGAGTAAGAAAATTTAAATAAACACATAATAACGAGTAATTGTAACTATACATTTTCAAAAAATGCATTTTCCATATATTTCTTTAAGTTGTTCTCGTCACATAAATTCATTAAAATATGTTGAGAGCATCTCTTCCACTTACGTATTTTGATAATTTTGTGATTTTTTAATAAAGTTTTGAATAAAAAGATTTAAAAAAAAAATAATAAATCTTTATAAAAAATAATAAAAAATGTCACATAGTACTTGGTTCACATGTTTTTGTAATGTAAATAAACATTGCTGAGGGAGTCAAATGTGTATACAGTAATAGTGGTGACAAAGGAATAACGAACCTTCTGACACATTGTTTTACATGCTAGTCCTGGGTATGACGATAAACTTACATATGGTATCAAGGACACTGATTGGGAGATTGGAAGTTTTGAGGAGCCTGGAGCCACCTCTTAATTGCTGTCCTTCCCAGGTCCACTCTGGTGGTAACATCTGTTAGGGTCCCAGCCATGGGCAAATACTGAACCCCTAAACAAAAATAAAACACTATGAAAGTATTAAAATACATTTTTATAGTAAAAATGCCAGCAATATATTTTTTATTAAAAAATTACCAACAATACATATTTATAATAAAATTACCAACAACACATTTTTAAAGTAAAATGACCAAAAATACATTTTATTGTAGAATTACCAACAATACATTTTATAGCAAAATGACCAACAATACATTTTATCTGTAGTTGAAGACATAAAATTGTGTTCAAAATATTTACATTCTGGCATTAAATAACCCATAGAAGTTGATATACTGCTAAACAAAATCAACCAACCAATTTCTTGCAGTCAAGAAGGTTAAACATTGCTGGAAGTTCCTTCTAAACCATTTATTGTAGGTAGCATGGAAAGTTAACATCTTGATGATATTATTACTTTCCCTTCTGCTTAGATATGTTATGCATTTTGTTGTTGTTGCTTTTGAAAGTGTTTGTAACTGTTATGAATAATCAAGAGTGTTCTCCCCTTGTTCTGTTACTCTCCTCTTTGAGAGAGCTATTTCTGTTTACTGGGACTGTAAAAGGACACTATACAAGAAACTTGTATCCTCAGTTGAATAAAGCTTTCTTAAAGCCTACACCTGCATACTTTTTGCATATTACAGTAGCAAAGAGGTGCTACAGGATTGTAATGAATGAAGATGGAGCCTTCTTTTGTATGAATGAATTTGATAAGTTTCAAATGAAATGAATTCAACATTTTCAAAAGAAACTATTTCAACATGTAGAGTATTTATATATCTATTTATAGAAAGAACAACACAGTTCACAAAAGAAGAGGAAATTATATGTGATTATTGTCACTTTTTTGCAGAAGACCATTTCTTTATTTGATAGTTTTTTTTGTGCTTTTCATTCAGTATTTTAATATTTCCATCATTTTTAACTGAGCTAATGTTCTACTCCAAGCCCATAAGTGATTGTTAAGGCCAGTTTCACTTTTACAACCTCTCTTGCACACAAGGCAAACAAAGTTTGTCTGTGTTACCTATGTTGGAAAATTGCCTGTTCCTGTGTATAATTATGTTATGTTTGAGTCCTGCAACAGACTTACAAACCTTGTCACAAAACTTGCACACGTAACCTGCAGATCTTTCTGGTAGGGTTGCATTCACATATAGCTTCAAAAAAAAAAAAAAAAAAAAGAAAAAAAAAAGGAAATAAAATCATTGCATAGCTGTAGTATGTGCAAAAAAAATGTGGCTTGTTTGGAATTAAGTAGTCAGTTTTCTGGGGGAAAGAAGACTTGATGTTATCTTACTTATTATAAAATGCAGATTGTGTGTGTGTGTGTGTGTGTTCCTTTATATATGGGATCGGATTTCCTACATTTTTCAACCGATTTCAACAAAACTTCACCAGGTAGTGTTTCTTATTGTCTTGCACACTTTTTTCTTTATTTTTACATTCAGAATGCTTTAAAAATTCCATTTACAAGACAATTGTTTATAATGAAATTCTATTCAATCGATAGACTCAAAATGATTGAAAAACAATGTTTTTGTTTGAGTTTGGGTTTGACCAATTTGTAAAAAAAAACAAAAAAAAAAAAAAACTA